GCGTTAACCTCAGATATGGCTTCAGCTAGAGAAGTACTAAATATCCAGAAGCTAACTATTGCAAAGTTTATAATTATTCCACGCTTTTTTCAAATTTGTTTTTATAGAATGTGTATATGTAAATATGCTCTGTTAAATGAAAAACTTTGCTTCAGAAAAAAAATTGTGTAGTGGTTAAGGTATAAGATCAATACACATAAGATTCCTCGGTTCGTTCCCCAGCATCGTCAAAAATAATTAAGTTTTTTGAGCATCCATTATGATAAACATTCATTGAAACAGGTAATAGTAAGTGAAATGAATGAGCAAATTGATTATATTTATTTGGAACTCATTATCATTAATAGATATATTTGATTTTATTTTAAATTCATTTTGGTTGATTGAACCCTAATCCGGCATGTCTGATCAAATCCGTATGAATTCAAGGTGTTACATGTCTGATCAAGTCTTCATCAAACTGTAGGATGATTAACATGATTGAACATCAAGTCTGACTTTATCCACACTTAGTTGGAACCTTCGCTAAATTTCCACACCAGTCGCCCCAGGAATGGCCCAACATTGGGCCAAGCTCGGACTCCAAAGCTTAGCAAACCCAACCTTATATCACGTTTAGCCCAGTGCTTAATATTAGGACTCCTAACTTCAGAAACACCTGCTGCGTAATATTCAGGTATACAAAAATGAAAAGCTCCTATAAAATATTCGAAAGTTGAGAGATAACTCATCAGGAATAATTTTGTCACGGAGTGTCACATACTGTTCTTCGTGCATCATACTCGTGAAAATAAAAAAGTGGAACAACATGTTGCTCTGCAGCAGTCGCGTGTATAACAGAAGTATAGTGATGTAACTGAATGCATCCCTAATCGATCCATGGAGAAGTTAAAAGCAGCAGCAACTGCTCTGTATAGTCAGCTAAGGCCAGCCTGCATAAATCATAGGTTGGTCGAATGGACTCCGGCCGTTAACAACAACTGCTTGGAGTATGTACATGAATTTATCTAGTTCCCTAATTCGAATAATTATCAATACTTTTTCTTTTTTTATGGCTTTACTTTTTATCGCGTTCATGATCTAATTTTATGATTCGCAAGGATATATTACAGGACATGAAAGCAGTTAAAGCGTGAAATCTGCGACGAAATGGTTGTGAACAAATATGCGTCTGATATCGATCCAACTTTTAATAATACTATTTTCAATAGAAGCTGAACGATTTGGAAATAATTAGAAATTCTGTTTTCCTTTTTTATTTTTAGCCTTAGAGTGTATAGAAAATATTCAATTAAAAAAATACTGATGCGCCTGCACATTCAAGCTGGAACGGAATAATTCATTAAGATGAGTATGCATAATGACTCAACAATTCCTGTACTTCATGCTCATCACCGTAAAAAAATACTATCCTTGTCGTTCTTATTGCTAATGCGATAGCATTATGAAATTTGAATATTTTATATGCTCTCCTTCTTTGTGTAAGTTGCATAAAACCTACACATAAGAATATGTTCCTTAGGATTTTATTAAAATATTGAGTAAATACTTCAATAACAAAGCAGAAAATAAATGATTCGATCAAAACTCGCTATTATTCATAAGTAATGCCTGGTTTGGAATGAAGTATTCATTGTAATTTTTACACATTGAGCAAGAAATTAATCGTTTTGCATAGATTTTTATGATGCCGTTAGTAGGCATCGGTATACTATTCTTCACCCAGGTTATCAAGTTGGGGAATTACTACAAAAAATTATTGCCCGTAAGGTCATAATGAGATTTTTGAGGGGTATTCAGAATTTAGTAGATCGCTTGCACTTCTATTTCATCCAAAAAAGTGTGAAATCTAATGAAAATAATTCATTGTTGTGAAAGACTCACCGAAAACTTTTTTATAACAGGAGAATCACTTTTCTGGGGGATAATAGAGGAAACAAACAGAAGAAAATTATAATGAAACGAGGACGCTGGTAAATGCAGAATGACAAGTATGTTCAATGTTACTCGGGAAAATGCCGGGTGAGGAGTGACAACATTTACATTAGTTGCAGACACATTGCTCGAGTTTTTACTATAGCAAAATGTTGAATAGACATCACTTGTTACCTTTCGTTGCGTCATCGGTTTTCACTGTCCCGGTAGTTCGAAACTGCTTACTGATAGGACTTTTTAGTAAATGTGCCGTCAAAATAATTATGAAATTATATTTTATGTCATTCAGCCCGCCTTGTAGCATAAGTTACTATTATGTTACTCTGCCCACCCTAACGTCGTACTTTTATTGCCTTAGAGGGGTAAGTAGCCGCTTATCGCCGTTCTTTTTACTTATCTCCCTTGGGCAATAAAACTCCTCGGTTATAGTCCGGCCTCCTAACATGAAGTAACATATGACACACGGTCAGAAAAGTATTTAGTTGCCCAAATACTTTTCAGCCCTTGTAGTATAAATTACTAATATTAATCCTCTAAATCGATTCGGAGGATTGTCACTTCATTATTAGATTCAAAATTATAAATTAAATATTTCCCCAGAGGCCGACTATAAAATGAACCGTGGGAAGAAAATCGATTTCCTATTTATCTCATGAGGGTAAAAACCTATGGATTTATTTTGCTATCGAACGGAATTTTGGTAACTGGTTGATTTTTTGCCATCTGTCCTGCTCACCCGAGTCGAATATTTGTAACTTATTCCCTCCTATTACATCCTTAAGTTGGGAATTTAAGCTTTATTTCCCTCTGTTTTTCCTGAATGTACCTTTTTACATCTGTTTTCCCCCTGCTAAGCCCTCAGAACATCTTTTTTCGTCCTGCTTTCCTCCTGGAGCCTCTTATGCCACTTTCCTTGCGTCTCTTTGATATTTGAACCTTCCTAAACCCGTCGCAATCCTGCGAATTAATACTCTTTTCATTCTAGTTCACCTATGTATTACCATAAACATAAGTGCATCTTGCATTAATTCATGCAGACGACAAATGATGATCATTATTGTTGATATTGGCTCACAGAACGAGAAGCACGTGAATCAACTCATAATCACTTGAAAAATGGCAATAACAGTTGAAACATATCAGCCGGTTCATTGTTGACATAGCGTTACAGGGGAGAGGGGCGAGAGTAATCAATGAAACACATATTTTAATTATTCACACTTCAATCATAATTGAAAAGATTGGTATGTATAAGAATGAATACAATTTTAAACACATGAATAATATTCATCAATAATATAATGATAATATCCATTTCAGCGGATGCGTCGACTAATTATGTCGATATAACTTTTTTATTTTTGACAAAGAATCAAGAATTGGAATCCAACTATTATATAAACGCAGCTAGATTCGATAATTACATGATGCAAATTGTAATACAGGACGTGTACGCCTTATAACTCTTGTACCAAATAGATTTTTCTAAAAATACAAATTGAAATGTATCATTTTTTTACGGAAATGTTTGGTTGCTATTATCATTATTATTCCAACTCTTTCTTATTAATGGGTATTCCAACATACAATTCATTTCAATTCTTATACGGAGACATACTGTCTCTAAGGATTGAACAGAGATCGCCAGAAGATTCTCATGATCACCTCTTGCCGTGAAAACTTCATTCGTATTTATCTTTTCAATTATTGCAAAATGTTCACCCCTACATAAACACGGACCCAACAGACAATTGCAATTGTCCACTGTTTTCACGAAGCTGAGAATAGAGCCAAATTTGGACATCCCATTCGGTGCTGTATATTTAACAATAAAACACTCGGTCTGTAGAGAATTTGTTTTATACTGCTGTGCGACATACAGTTGACCATTTTTCAATAATCTCAAATACTGGCGCGTACTGCCATGCAACAGATATTCAGAATTAGTCATCGCTGTCTGGATAATGTGTGGTATTTCAGCTAGCTTTTTGTAACAGCCAACAGTGTAGCGCTCTACACATACATATTCATTGATTTTAACATGTTTTTTGCGTCTGTTACAAAAATCACGCACGGGGCCCTCCGGTAATCTGTTCACTAATTTCGCCATTGCTATTACTTGTTGGTGCTTTTTCGCTATCTGAGTGTCCAGATGCCAGGTGCCATGGATGAATTTCAAATATTTCGTATTCAGATCTTCGTATTGAAAGCATGAGTAGGCCCATAACGGACGTAGGCATTCGATGAACAAATTTAGGGGGCTTTATACTCAATAATCTTTCATTGATTTGCTCTATAAACCCATGGAGAAAAAATAGAAATCGATTGAACTTTGTATCAATCCAGAGATACAGTAACTTCCGCACTACTCCACCTTCTACACCAGGGATGGGCAACCTCTGCTCTGAGAGCAAGTCGTGCTCCCGACCTCTATTAGTACATAACAAAGGGTAGACGAAAGCTTATTGTGTCGAGTGATGGGCCTTTATGACCCAAGTCGTAAAGGGCCTTCTCCTCGGCTGAAATCAACCAAAGTGGGGGTAATACGTAAGAAAAGGAGAAGAGAAGAAATATCGCTGAAGAAAAGGAAAAGCGGGGAAATGAGTCAAAAATGGAAAATGTGGAATTTTCTTCACGATGACATTTTTATTAATTTTGAAAGCAGACGTTACACGGAGAGAAAAGTCCAAGAAAAATTACTGTGCCGAGCACTACAATCGTGGTGCAAAATATTAGAATACTAAAATTTCTTTCATTCACAAATAAAAGTTACTATTAATATTTTAAATTTTCTTATACATTCCGTAATTAATCATATGTGGCTCCATAAAATTTACTAAACAGCACTATAAAATTTGAAGGTCTATCATTTTTTATTTGAGTTTGTAGGAAAAATTGATAGAAATCCTTTAAAAAATCCTATCTAGATCGGTAATTTTTATTGTGATGTCTTTCATTTTTTACTGTGCTACACAACATTTTTTCGTTAACCCAATATGATTGGTTAACGATGAGCGTCGAATGTTTCCGACTTTTGCCGAAGTTGAACTTAACGATGGCAACTGTTGCATCAGCCGCATAAGCTATCATCGCCTCGTTATCCTTTTTGCTGAACAAATTTTGAAGTCGTTTGTGTGTGAATATTTCAGTGGTGCATTAAGTGTTAACTCAACTGTTTATTCTGAAAAGTCTGAATTGGCGTAAGTATTACATTTTCAGTATTTGCATTTGATTGAGAGGTTGAAATGACGGTGTGATGCATGGCAGATGCATGAATTTGCGGGTTTTGTCTCGAAATAATATTCTTATATTTGCAATGCTTCCTATCATATCCTGCTTGCTTAATAGCTTTCATGTTTTTTATAATTAAGCCTCGGGAAAACCTGCTAATTCTAGTCACCGGCAAGAGAACCGGCGACGCAACGAAATTCAGGTTAAAGCTTACAAAATTGTGGGACTTATAAATATTTATGCCATCGGTGCCCGTAATCACGAGATTCTAACCTCGCTTCGCTCGGTTAAATCGCGGATTCCGGACAACATGACATAAAATTTTGTATCAAACACGTGCGTAATATACTATTATGAATTTGCTGCACATCGATGGAAAAACCCATATTTTCAGAAATGTCTAATTTAACCTTAGTTATCAGAGAAACGAGTTTCTTGCCTCTGCGATTGTATCCTTTGATCACATTGTCCCATTATTTCTAAAGTATTTTAATTAATTTCCCGATTTTTCTATTTTTCAGGAAAATGGTAATCCATGTAACAGATGATCATCTTCATTTTCTCCATTTGTCTTGTTCTGCATGACCTGAATATTTATAAATCTTTTTTGAATAAAACTAGTTGACGTGCAAATTAGTTCTTTTCTAAAAAACTATTAAACAAGGATAAAAATTCTGGAACAACTTTCTAATACTTTGCCCCTTCAATCGTTTTTCAAAACTTATTACTTTACTGCTAATGTTTTTCTCAGGACTGCAATGCACATTTTGATTCTCCAGATATACAAAACAATGTAAGTTGGTTTAGTGTGTTCTTTTATCGATGTGTGTTCACTCATTGTCTACTATTTCTTGATTTTGGAGTGGGGAATAACATTTTTGAGAGAAGAAAATTCTGGCCAAGTGAAAATTCATATTTTTTACAAAGTTAATCTTTTTTTTTAGTGTACCGGTCCATTTTAGAAATGATTATTAAATAATTGTTTTGTTAAAAGTTCTCCGGACTTTAGAAAAATATCATTCAATATTTTCTTGGAAAATCGTATTCCTTGCAGGCAATTTATCAAACTCTGAACAGAACTGGAAATGGAAAAGCTATAATCGCATATTATAAAGAAAATTTAACTCTGGCTAAGCGAATTAGATGTCTGCTTAGCCGAGAAGTCATAACTCGAGAGAAAGATCGACAGCTGACTGCAATTTTTCGAGAGCCGGGGGTCGAACGAGTGGATCAGTTTAAGTAATTTAAAATATTAAAAAATTCTTTAAAAATACTTCCTTGGTATTCATTAATTAAATCATATTCCATCTGATTTTTAGAATCACTAAAGCTCAGTTCGAGTCTTGGGCAACTGACATTGCAATCGTGTTTCCAGGCGAGTATGCCAGATTATATTACAAACCCTTCACGTCACAGCTCGTGCAAGTACACCAACCAAATGGAAGGATTTTATCCAAACGACGGAAAGAAAATCCAAGTGGCATTTTATATGATCATTACGTCTATTTGCAAGGAAAATTGAAAAATCAGCACCTAGTGAGGAGAGTAGACATCCCCGTGGCTGTGGACAACGTGGATCCCATTGGTAATTTTTTTTTTCAATTTTAATCCGTCGTTAAATATTGAATAATTTTTACAAAATTTCATCTTAGAAAAAACTACATCGACATATTTTTTATTTTTATTCTTCTCATCTACTAAAAAAGGATATCCATATTTCCTCGTAAATTGACTGATATTGACATAATTTCATATTTAATCAGATATAATAAAATTGAAAAAAAATCTATCGCACATTTAAAAAAAAAATGTTCTGCAGAAGTGGAAGACGAAGCCCTTGACTGGCTATCAGTAAACCTTGAACCAGCAGCACATGTGAGTAATAATTGGACCGCCTCACGAAGATTGAGGAAAGCACGATTGCGTGAAGGCATTAGCATCCATGAATATTATGAGTTACTCCCGGTCCTAAAAACAGTGTTGGGTTCACAATTGGTAAGAGACTTACCAAGCCATCAAGTAATTAATATATTCAGTACTTCATTAAATTCTTTACTGAATTTTATTAATTATAATTTTGTAGTTGTCGAGTGATTTCGATGAGCTGTACCCTGGGCGTGATAACATTTTTCAAAATCGTTGGGATGCTGCACGAGGTGTACTAATTGCTGCTCTCGACAAAATTGCTTCAAAATTATCGCCAGAAGATTTAAGGCTTTACTCGTTGTTACCAAGATCTGCAGAGCATGTTAAAGATGCGATTCTGCTACATCTCTTGCCATATTTGATTACTCCACCCCGACAGAAGCTCACAAGAGGTCAACGAGCAGAAAAACGAACTGTAATAGAAAAGCAAGAGGCTTTCTTGATCCACGCAAAAACCGCAGCCGATATCAATACAGCTTTAGAAAATCAACGAATGATTTGCAATGCAGCAGGAACGACACTTCAGGCAATTCCAGTTTTTGTTGGTGATTCCATTGATCGTTTGGACACATTTTATGTTTACATGAATAATTCTATAGATGACCCAACGACCTATCAGGTGGACACTATTCTGAAAGCTATACATTTAACTTTCAAAATTTTTTTTGCATTAAGTTGTGCGTATCCCCTATTTGCCCATTCCATTTGGCTGTTTATACAAAAAGCTCTGTATAATATTGATTTGCCAGATGATCGTTGCAATAGGGAGGTGCTGCAATTGATCGAACAAATTAAACAACCACCTAACGAGAATCGTGATCCGAATCCGCATTAAAATTCAACATGTATTCCTGCAAACTTTGTCATCTAGATTTTGATACGTCCAAGAGTTATATTAGTCATGTAAGATTATTTCATCCTACTTCAGTCAAATTTCATTGTGAGAATACCACGTGTTTGAGAGTTTTTAAATCTGTTAACTCACTCAAATCACATATAGACCGAGTACATAAAAGAAAGACACAACTTGAAAAAGATCAGTTTTCATCCAAAAAATTCAAAAGTAATAAAAAAGATCCAGCGAGTAAAGAAATTGAAAATGTGAATGGAGTGGTTGAGGGAATCGAAAATGCTGTGGAAAATAAGGAACCACTGCAACGGGAGAATGTAACGGGCGATTTTCGAAGCAGTACTAGTCATAATCAATCCGATGCATTACCGCCAGGAATTTCACAAAAATGGTTGATGTATGCAGCGAAGATTTATAGTCATTTAGACATTCCCCGATCTAAATCGCTCGAAATACTGAATGATACTCGTAATTTCATAAAAGATTTACTTCAGGATAATATAAACAATTTTGATAAAGTGTTTAATCCACATGAATTGATAACTATTGAAAAGATGAAAGTTGAAGCCACACTGCATTTACAAAATTTTTCCAAAGCATACAGTTCCCAATTAGATTGTTTAGATTCCGAGCATAAAATTATTAAAGAATTTGAAAACCGTGGAACTTACATTGCACCAGAATCGTATCTGCTCGGTGAAAGAGAAGATTTTCGAAAAAATAAGCAAAACATTGATAAAAGAAGAATCCCGGTGACTGCTCAAATGATTCGTTTACGTTATATTTTACGTAATTTTTTCGAATTGCCTTTAGTTTTGGAAGAAACACTTTCTGAGATTGATTTACTAAAAATGGATTCCTTGATAATATCTAATTTTATTTCAAGTGATTTATGGAAAGAGCTGAGTAAAGATGATGAAAACAAAATTGTCATGCCTTTATTTTTTTATATTGACGACTACGAAAATAATAACCCGTTGGGCAGTCACCGAGGAATTTCAAAATGTAGTGCTGTTTATGTTTCTATTCCAGGACTACCTACAAAATTTTGTGCAAAACTCGAAAATATCTTCTTATTTTTATTATTTAATAGTTTGGATGGAAAAAACTTTAAGAATTCAATTATTTTTAATAAAATTCGCGAAGAATTACAATTCTTAGAGACTGAAGGGATCACAATTAACTATTTAAATGGAGAAAAGCGTTTATACTTTCGACTAGCATTAATAATTGCAGATAATTTGGGCATGCATCAATTACTGGGTTTCAGAGAATGTTTCAATTCCGGAAAGATATGCCGCTTTTGCTTAATAGATTATCAAGACATAAACAAAGTTTTCAAAGAAGATGAGTGTGAATTGCGAACAGTCGTGAATTATGAAAATGATCTGAGGAAAAATGATCCTAAGGAAACCGGAATTATGGAACGATGCGTATTAGAAGGTATCGGAGGCTTTCATCCCCTTAAAAATTTAGCAGTCGATGTTGTTCACGATATTTTAGAAGGGGTTTGCAGGTATGATTTGGCTTTGATACTGAGTTATAATATAAAGAAAAATTTTTTTTCTCTTACTCAGCTGAACAATCTCATCGGAGGATTTTGCTATGCACCGATTAAAAATAAACCTACAGAAATTTTTGCGAGTCACTTAAAAAATAAGTGTATAAATATGAGTGCTTCAGAAATGTTAACATTAATTGTGAATTTACCGGTCATCATCGGTCATTTCGTTCCCCATGATGACGAAGTTTGGCAGTTATTGCTATCTTTGAGAAAAATTACAATAATTGTAATAGATTATCAATTTAGTAAAAGTGTGCCTGACATATTGGAAGCAATCATAACTGAATATTTAACACTATTATCAACGTTGTTCCCGTATTCACTGAAACCCAAACACCATTTGTTATTGCACTATCCAAGAGTTATGCGATTATGTGGTCCCTTATGGAAAATATGTACAATGAGGTTCGAAGCAAAACATCGTGAGGGAAAAACAGCCTCTCGTTCTACAGTTAGTCGTATTAACGTTTGTAAAACGATCGCAATTAAGCACCAGCTGCGTCAAAATTACAGGTTTCTGAAAAAGTGTACTCCAACAAATATTATCTACGATTTTAAATTATTAAAAACAGAGTTGTTGCGAAACTTAGCATGTTATGTAGAATTACATGAAAAATTGTTGGCTTCGATTGTCACGGAAAATGGAGAAATAAAAGTTGTAAAACGAGTCGATGTAGAAGGCACAAAATTCGACGTTAGATCTATTATAATGATACCAAGTGAGGAGGGTCCTATTTTTTACAAAATTAATAAAATAATCATCCATCCTGTTAGTCATTTAGTTTTTATTGTTCAAAAACTTCTGTTTGTTTGGCTCGATGAACACACAGAATGTTTTAAGTTGGTCCAAAAACCATACCAATGGTCAATTTTAGGCTTAAGTGATTTATTTAGTTGTAAGGTTACCAACTTGGTACGTGCATCAAATGGTAGGCAGTTCGTTTTAAAGAATTGGTTGTAAAAATAGTAATATTCTCATCAACAATAAATTTTAGTATTGAGCAAAAATATCAGCAGTCACTTTTTAATTTTACTCGCATTTCCATTAAAACACAAAATTCCTACTATTCCTACTATTCTTAATTTTCCCACTATTTCTAAAAAAAAATTACTAAACGATTTTGAATTTTTACTCAGCCGATAAAGAAATTTTCTTAGGCCACCTTAGAAATTTTGTTAGGTGGCATAGTAATTTTTATTAAGCCCGCAGTTTGCGCCGAGATTGTAAGGCAGCACAGTAATTTTTACCAGAATCACACTATAAAATTTCATAGATTTTTCTCTCCGTGTACAAATGAAATGTAAAGACCGGCTGTGTAATTTCAAAGGCAAGGAATAAATTCCACAAGGTTCTTTGAAGAAAATTTTTTTTTAATATTATTTTTTAAAAATATTCCTTTTTTATATTCAGAATCAACATCAGCCAGTCAAAACTGCAATGTTTGGGATTTTTTCCTAGACAAGTTTTTCGGTAAGGTCGATATTGGACCAAAAATTTAAAAAGCAAGCTGAAAGATGTCATTAATTCGGAAAGAATCTACACCATGCATTCTATCAATCGTCATTCATCTCACGAAATCAGGTATGATTCTGGAGAAAGCTGTGTGGCCTTTGATACCCATTGCAGGCACATCAGGTGTCCCTCTATCGGCATGCAGCATCGCTTCTTGGGTTGTTCGTGGAAGTAATTCATTCTGATAGGGAAACACGTAAATATGGCCTCCATTATCAGTGCGGACACTTCTGCCCTCAATGTAGCAAGAAGAACACCCATATTTTCCATTATAGTGAGTCATGTTTAGAAACGTTGCTTTTGCAGGAAGATCACATGTTCCCATAAGAACGATGCCTCTCACGAGAATTTCATCGTTCCTCCCTGGTAATGATACGAAGATACCGTGGACAATTTGTTCCAATTGAGGTCTAAATTTATAAATGAATTGATTGGCATCAGGTTTATACTTTCCGAACCATAAACCAACCAATATGGTATTTTCCATCATTTTCTTTCTGTCAAATGGCAACTCATTTATACTCAAGTATAGAGACCAAACACTCTCTTTGGAGGACTCAAAAACTGGCACTCCATCTGTATACCAACTGAAAGAGATGTTATGAGGATTAGTTAAAAATCCTTTGTGTATCCACTCTCTATAGTATGGAGTCTATACATAGAGCCATCATAAACATCACTTATAATCCCATTATAATTGGGAGGACGTTGGAAACGCCATTGTAGAGAATCATAAAAATTATCCCGTTGGTACATTCCTTTCAATTGATTTACAAATGGTAATTCGATGAAGTACAAGTTCTTCCTTCTCGGACATGAAGGACACACATCATTAACAGATTGCAATTCCCTCGAGCACACAGAACAATAATAGTGTTTTTTGATACTCGTCTTATAGAGGCACCAATATTTTTGAAATGTCCTTAGAGTCATTTTTGCCAAACCTTGCTGCAAACAGTGCAAGTTGATAACCATAATGATATCCTCTAGGCAAAGAATTTTTACATTATGAAGGCACAGGATTAGAATTAGTAGGAGGCTCTGACCCACTGTTATAGGTGCCCCTCGATATGGAGGACGATGATACTGCCAATCATTATTATCTCTTAGCAATGGTTCTTCATCATGCGGTTCATCATTTCCATCATTCTCCTCCTCTTCTGATTCTTCCGCTGGAACATCGACGAATTGCCATTCCTCTCCATTGTCGCTATCACTGGAATCTTGCTCATTAACACTCGTATTTTCGTCCTATGTGAATCTTTCCTCGTCGGTTTCCAAGTTCTCTTCATTGCTTCCATCTTCCCGGGTCCGAAATGCCAGTAGTCGCAGTATTGGCCGAGCATCGACCGAGAATTGGCAACCAACTCTTGGGCCCCAACCATCGACCAAATGAAGGCCGTCGATTGGGCCCCACCATTGCTCGGTTCCCAAGTGTAGGCCGAGATTCGGTTCAAAAGAGGGTGCCTAGTGTCGGTGACTAAACTATGGACTTGACTTGGTAGATGGCATGCCAACATAAATTATTCACTTGATATATTATTATACCATCTACCAGCCTATACTTTTATTCAATAGATAATGTCATTACCGACGGTAGAACGGAAGCTGCTCCATTCTGACACGTTCTAAATTTACCCAAAATATTCAGCAAGCAAAACATTATCACAGGTCAACATTATCTGACAAAGCTACGTAATGGCATCAGCATATGAGCGCGTAAAAAAGTGGCGACTGATGCATAAACAAAATCATTGTGTTGTCAACTTAAGTACGAGTGACAATGAGCAGTTAGACCCAGTGGACACCGATGGACAGTCTGGACAATGTCTAAATGAGATTAAGTCGGACATGAGAAAGGATGTATCCATGACTAACTCATCAACATCAAATGCTTCTGCGTGTTCGAATACCTGCAATTCATCGATAAATGATTGTGTCAAAGCTGCTGCGATGTCAATGCTGAGGAGAATCCCACAGGAGGTGGTGGTCATGACAACATATCGTCGGATAATTCGAGTATTGCCTCTACTGTCTCAAGTAATCATGACGATCGAGCCGCCAATGTAAATTTCCAAGTCATTCCTAACGTAAAACAATGAATTCAGCAGTGGGCATTGAAACATCGGAGTAATGTGTCCCA